CTGCACCTGCCAGGGAGACTGCTGTTGTCTGTGATGATTTGGTTGAAGGGAGAATTGCAGGGTTATCCAGAGCGAGGCAAGGCAGATGGGTGCAAACGGAACGGAAGAAATATGCTTGGATGTAAATAAATCAACACCAGGAGTTCGAGAGGCTTCAATTGCGATGCAGCTGTAATGGTAACAATTACGAGGAATGAGCAGGGTATGCAACGCAATCAAAGGGCACAACAAGAGAGTGCCATCTGCTTCTTACGCCAGATCACTCAGTCTCTCCCAAAACTTGTGTATACACACCACTGTAGGAGCACAAGGGCAGTCCGGCCTGGTTGTCAAAGTTGCTATCGCAGGTGTATACTGATTCCTGCACAGACTCACTGAAGGAGCACATGCCATGCCCGCTGCACAGGGGTTGGCAATCCCCAGCAGCAACCCCACAGAACGCACCACACTCCTCTGCACTCCTCTGCTCCAAGTAGTCTCCAGGCGCCCGGGATGCGTTGAGCAGACAATGCTCAAAGGCGTTGCCAAGGTAGGTGTGGTTGGCCTCGGGCGGGATGACGGTCCCGTGGAAGAAGAAGTTGCGGTGGGTGTAGGGTAGGTAGGGCGGGAACAGGTTGGCTGCAGGTAGGGCGACAGGGGCAATGGCAGTCACCCTGTCACTGGTTGGCTGACATGTCACTGTAAAGAAGGGGGGGCGAGGGCAGGGAGAGCCAAGGCGAGGAGTGGGTGGGAAAATGGCGCATGAGCGGGGGTGTGACAAGAGTGGGTGAGAAGTGAACACGCACAGGGTGGTGCAGAGGAAAGATGCAGTGTTCTGTTGGAAGAATGTGTTTGATGCTGGTCAGCAATTACCAGCGCCCAAGCAGATGAGCCTTGAACATACAGATAAACCATCGGACCAAAGGAAGGGGCTTGGTGTAAACCATCGGACCAAAGGAAGGGGCTTGGTGTAAACCATTGGACCAAAGGAAGGGGCTTGGTGTAAACCATCGGACCAAAGGAAGGGGCTTGGTGTAAACCATCGGAGCAAAGGAAGGGGCTTGGTGTAAACCATCGGACCAAAGGAAGGGGCTTGGTGTAAACCATCGGACCAAAGGAAGGGGCTTGGTGTAAACCATCGGACCAAAGGAAGGGGCTTGGTGTAAACCATCGGACCAAAGGAAGGGGCTTGGTGTAAACCATCGGACCAAAGGAAGGGGCTTGGTGTAAACCATCGGACCAAAGGAAGGGGCTTGGTGTAAACCATCGGACCAAAGGAAGGGGCTTGGTGTAAACCATCGGACCAAAGGAAGGGGCTTGGTGTAAACCATCGGACCAAAGGAAGGGGCTTGGTGTAAACCATCGGACCAAAGGAAGGGGCTTGGTGTAAACCATCGGACCAAAGGAAGGGGCTTGGTGTAAACCATCGGACCAAAGGAAGGGGCTTGGTGTAAACCATCGGACCAAAGGAAGGGGCTTGGTGTAAACCATCGGACCAAAGGAAGGGGCTTGGTGTAAACCATCGGACCAAAGGAAGGGGCTTGGTGTAAACCATCGGACCAAAGGAAGGGGCTTGGTGTAAACCATCGGACCAAAGGAAGGGGCTTGGTGTAAACCATCGGACCGAAGGGAGGGGCTTGGTGTAACAAGCATTTTCAGTCCTATCTGTAGTCCTCCTTCCCAATCCAATGCTCTCTTAGAATGGGCTCTTTCAGGACCCCCTCAACACACCAAGGCAAGTAACAAATGGCACAAGGCCCATTGGCACATGGGACCTGGGACATGGCAAATAGCACATGGTGCATGCCATATGCGATTCCCCCCATGCACGTGCAACGTGACAAGGCTGGTCATATTGCGTGTGATGCCGTACACATCGCCAGAGAGGACGTTCCTGTTCAGGTAGCTGGAAGAAAGCACATCCGAAGACAACTCGTGAACGCGGCGTGCATGGCATGGCAGCACTTGGACTCCCATCCAGCAGGGTTGAGTGCGCTTCCTAAGGCCCTCAGCGGAGGTAGCATGGAGTGCTGTTGTTGCATGCAGTTGCGTTGCATACAAGCATGATTTCAACTACATGTCAAGGTTGGTAACTTGGATAAGTGTGATTGGACCAGACGCCAAGGGACACTGGATACAACAGCAAGCAGCCAGGGTGCACACGCAAAAAGCCCAAGTTCTGAAGGAGAATGATCTGGGGACCGTGCCCCTGAGCCCCACACCCTCCAGCTACCTGAACCCACAGCGTGGAAGACGTCGTGTGCACACGTGATACATCACAGACTATGATGATGGAACGATAAGGGAGTCCTTGAGTGAACGAGAGAGAGAGCATTCTATTGCAGTCTGCACATATGTCTTTAACACGCAATGTCTCAGTACCTTTCTGATGACTCTTGTCCTCAAAGCTACTGACATAGACTGATGCCAAGCCAAGGAGACTCGGAATCATACGTGCACAGGAGGTTGCACCAGCAACACACCAGGCAAGCAAGGCAAACACCAAGAGAGAAGCTACAGGGATGGGTTATGGTTGGCGAGATGTCAAGGTGACTCAGGGTTCCAATAGAGGGGCTAGGTTCCACCAATGTTTGACCGTGCCAGCTCCCTGTAAATACATGGCTTGATTAAACACTAGGTTGGGGATAAGAAAGGAGAGCATGATTTCAGCATGCTACACGTGTCTCCTATCGTGATGTGATAGGCCTGACAAGTAGCACGAGCGCTACAAACATCAGAGCAGACAAATGAGAGAGCTACCAGATAGTGGGTTTCGGCGAAATCCATTATCATAAACCACTGCCTCTGTCCTTAGGGCAGTGTCCTTATGAAGCAGGGGCCAAAACGGGGGAGTGGAGGTCTGTAGACTAAAATCTCGTTCTGGATCCATACACTATGTTTCGGCTGTACCCTGTGCACACAATGAATTGCTCACAAGCATAAAAAATTGTCTATGATTGTATGTTGAACCCTACAGCTATAATGATTGGTGTCAAGCGTCTATTCAAGACATTACTAAGGCTGGAGTACGGTAGGGAAAGAGGAATTTTCGGTGGAGCGGTGATTAGCCCAGAGATTGAAAAGAACACCGCACGCGCTCTCACAACTTGTGAGTCAAAGTTCCATGAGCAGATTCTTGGCCCCATGCAATGACAGAATGAATGGCGTACATACCATACTCATGGTGACTGCATACATGCTCATGATGACTGCATACATGCTCATGATGACAGCATACACGCTCATGATGACTGCATACATGCTCATGATGACTGCATACATGCTCATGATGACTGCATACATGCTCATGATGACTGCATGCATGCTCATGATGTATGCATACATGCTCATCAGTGTGGGTAGGGTGGAGATCTAATCAGGAATGGCGCCAGGGAAGTTGTTATTGTGCAGGTCGCTGCACGGCAGAGCACAGGATAGAGACAGTTTCTTTTCAGTCGGCTAAAAAGCACAGAGCTTGTAGTCGACTCTAAGGCAGAGCAGGGGAACAGAGGCAGTTGCATCGATCCATTTTAATCAATCTGACTTCTTTCAAGATTAGCTCGAGAAACATCCACACGGGCGCGTAAGTAATATTGTTGAGGGCTGCAGCGTCACTTTATCAGACTCAAGGGGGCATTGCAACATCGTTATCTTGACAGGAGCGGAGCTTCACTGCCTTGCATGCAGCAAGGCGAGGAGGACAGTCAGAGCATGGCATGGAAAAGGGAGAGCCGCATGGCGCTATGAGTGAACAAATAACACGTGCAGATGCAACAGCAGGGTGGGCGAGGCAATGGGGTGGCTGACAGGATATCGAGGGTGGAGATGGTGCTGAGGGCAGACTGCTGTCCACAGTGAACCCGTTGACCGAAAGGCTCCTGCACATGGTTACAGGGAATGGAATGGACCATTGGCGATGTGTTATGTGCCCCACTGAGCGCTACTGACAACGAGATACACATGCATGGGATAGCCTTGGTAAAAGCAGAGCCCAATATTCTTGCATGGTGCAGTGCTGAGTGCTAACGCACAAGAATGCATGCATGCACACAACGCCCTGTACATAGTCCGCGCTGCACCACAGCAATCCCGCTCCCATTCGTCTTTCAATATCTATCTGTTAGAATGTTGCATATGCTAGTCAATACTACTGTAAGTGATACACCCAATGTGGTACACTTTGGCTCAAGTAGCCCCAACCGATTTTGGTTGAGTGCTTCCCAACATTTTTGGACCGTATTTGTTGGGGGATCCCAAATAATGACTGGGCCATCTAATCAATTATTGCCCCCCCCCCCCCCCCCCCCCATCCCCCAATAATGTTGGCCAATCATTGCGTGGTCAACCTAATTGACCCACCAATGATGGTGTGGGCACTCATCCAATCTGCCCACCGTTTCCTTTCCTATGTTAGCCTATCTCTCATTTATCACAATCATAACTTGAGACTCTTTCACTCTGCACACGCAGTGGCCCCATGCCAGTACACCCGCAACCACTAACCCTCTACCCTCTTCGACCCAGTGACACCCCTCAGCAATTGAGCCTGCCCAGATCTCTCAGTGCAGTGGATATATTACAGTGTGGCGAGTTGGTTGAGGTGCGACAGATAAGGGACTCAGGCACGGATCAACTCAGCCAGTTCTGCGCAGATCACTCAAATCAGGTTGGTCAACAAGCTGATCAACTCAGCCGGTTCCTCCAGAGGACAGATGGTCAAGAAGGGATCCGAGAAAGGGAGAGAGCATGGGACTACCTGGCATGTGACACAAACTCATGCAATGAAACAGGGACAGAGCCAAGTAGTTGTGGGATGGATTAGGTAGGAGGGGTAAGGGTGGTACTGACAGGTAGGTGACACTGAAGGAGGTTGCTCATGTCATTTGGAGATGTTCAGATGATTCACTCTCGGCTTGCTGCATGCGTGGCGCACACATGGAGAAACATGGGGATGGACGGGATACACGAAATGGGGTTGGATGGGGTTGGACGTATAAGGTTGGGGCAAGGAAAATGAACAATTAGGAGAGGGAGAGGGAGGGGAGACGTGGAAGGACTACAGATGGGGCAATGTACTGAGGTGAGGAGAGGGATGCCTGGGACGTTGATGGTGCGTCCCATCTGCCGCACTGCACGCACGCACACATGACAAGATAGCATTCCGCGTTGCTTTTTCATCCGCCCTCGTCACAATCTTCCCTCTTATTTGTTCAGCACTCTCACTCTCAGTAGAGCCGCCCACCCGAACGCATCCCTGGGGCATAGCCAGTACCTGCACACGTTGCTGGCACGCCCCTGGCAAGCGGGCCGAGAGTACTCTGAAGGCACCCACATGCGCTGGAGCAGCATTCACATGCGCTGGAGCAGCACCCACATGCGCTGGAGCAGCACTCACATGCGCTGGAGCAGCACCCACATGCGCTGGAGCAGCACTCACATGCGCTGGAGCAGCACTCACATGCGCTGGAGCAGCACCCACATGCGCTGGAGCAGCATTCACATGCGCTGGAGCAGCACCCACATGCGCTGGAGCAGCACTCACATGCGCTGGAGCAGCACTCACATGCGCTGGAGCAGCACTCACATGCCTCACGTACCAGGGAGACGACGTTGCCTGCGAGCGTCGCATGCGACGCCCTGCACGGTGGAGCAGTCGCTGCTGGCCGACCACGCCTGCCAGCCGCCCCCAAGCTGCCCCCACGCTGCCAGCACGTGCAAAACAGCTTGACTGCCAGCGAAGGCAGGAGAGGGTTGGACGCAGGGGGTGCAGCCGCGGGCTCACGGAGGTCAGCGGGCACGGTGGAGTGTGGGGGGAGGGAAGCAACGCGGGGAGGGGCATGGGGACACGCAGGGACCGGAAGAGGGTTGTACGACAGATGAGTGAGGGTTGTTGGGAGAGGGGATGAGAAGAGGGAGTGGAAGGAGGAAAGGGAGGGAAAGGAGGGAAGGCGGGGTGATAACAGGGTAGTAGCATAAGAAGGGGGGCATGGAGAGGCAAAGAGGGGGCAAGGAGAGTTGGAACGAGGAAGTTGAGGTGAGCTGTGCGTTCAGGAGGAGAGAGATTGATCGTTGCAGGACATGCGCAGCGGCTAGAGCGCTTCTGCGGAACGTGGTGAGAGAGAGTCACAGTGGCATTGGACAATCTCGCATCACTGCGCATCACCCCTGAATGAAAAGGAGAGGGACGGGATGCAGGAGAGGGAGAGCAACCCACTCCCCATGACTATACCCCCATCTTCCCCCTCCCCCCCCCCTCCCCCTCCTTTTCATTTCCTTCCCTCATATGCACCCCCTCGTGGCATATACCTGTCAGGGCTTTTTCCTTGCTTAGGTTGGCTGATGAAATCTTACCTTAGTTCTTTACGCTTGACTTTGCTGTACCACTTGTATTCAACGACAAGGATAGTTCGAGTGTTGGGGGGTGTGCATATGGGGCTGACTCAGTCGCTCTGCGCGATGATACACTGCGAGACGATACACAGTGTGACGATGCACTGAGCAACGATACACAGTGTGACGATGCACTGAGCAACGATACACAGTGTGACGATGCACTGAGCGACGATGCACAAAGCAACGATGCGCTCCCCAAGTGACGAGGCACACGCACATACGCGGCACGTCTGTAGGGGCGGCTTCACGGCACTTAGCTTCCCCACTGACGCAGCCCCCCTAGGCATCGTGTGCCGCCAGGTCCGCAGTGCGCTCTGCGTGGGGGAATGAGCTCTCTCGTGCTCGCTGTCATGCCACTGGGAAAGCCCGCCGCCACCGCTACAATGACGCCAATCCTACTAAGGTACGCGTGAAACGCCGCTGCGTGCTCGCCGTTCCGAGTGGCGCGGCAGGACGCGGCGAGCACGCGGACGAGCTGCGCTACGGTCATCCTCCTTTGCGTCCAAGCGCCAAACTAAACCACGGGTTTGGCCCCGGCCATATGCCACGCCATCAGCTCTCGGTGACTCAAGGAGCCGACAGCCACCTGACCGTGGCAAGCCACGGCTCCCAGTCAGCGCGCCGTAGCACTAGACGAGCGCGCGACCCGTTATGGTAGTAACACCGCTCTTACTTCCAGGCAGAAGAGGGAAGAGCATGCAGGTAGCGCATTCTCGAGAAATGCAAGCGGCGCAAGTGCGACTTACCGTTGCCTGCACGAATCCTACTGCTGCGTGACGTGGCGAAATGGCGGCGAGCAATGGTGGAATGGCGACGCGACGTATCGAAATGGCGGCGTGACATGGCAAAACGGGGGCGCGACATGCGGAATTGGCGTGACATGTTGAAATTGGCACCCATCACGACGACTGAACCTGGTAGAACCGACAGCGAAGCACAGCGACCAATTTTTAGACGCCTAAATAATACACCGACAACGCACAGCAGAGCGTACTACTTAAAGCCTCGAACGTGAAAACGAGTGTGTGTGTGGATTCTGGTTTGCTTTCCACTTGAGCCGTGGCTCCTCAAGGCGATTAGGAGGGAGCATAAAGACCGCTGACACAGGTTGTTGCTTAGGTTCTATTTGCTGGAAGCAAACTTAGGATGACCAAATTTGTTCAGGTCCCTTCGGCATTGTGTGAAGCTCCGAACATTGCGAGGTTCCGAGTTCGCAATAAACTGGCCAAAAAACTTACGATTGTCGAGGCAAAGGGTGTACGTCCGGATCGCCAGGCTCGGCTGGCGTTTTAGTTCCTAGGCGAGCCGTTTGGTGTGGGACGCGTGAAGTTCGGAGGTCTGTGCGTTCGGTTTACTTTCTGGTTTGGAGGCGACATTTTAGGGGTATCGTACGAATTCCCGAAGATGGTGGGGATCAGGCTCGGCCGATTTGACGAAGCCGAAGCTGACTCGCGTCGCTTCCGAGCCTTTTGTCCCTGCCCCAAACCTTGCGACGGAAATTTCGCCAAGCAAGGTTGTGCTCGTGTAAATCGAGGCTTGAATCACATATCGTCGTTTCCATCTCTGTTCGATGGTCATTACAGCCTCCAACCCTAATTTTGAATCTTCTTGTGCCTACCTCACTTCCAGAAATCCACCTTCTCAAGCAGCTGTGCATCGATGGCGGTTTATAGTAGCTGTGCATGGAACCGTACCGGCTCTTTCCGTCCGCACCACGCATTGGTGGAATCGTCGCCAGCGTCTTCGTCACCGCCAATCCAATCTACCATGTGCACTCGCTCTCTATATTAGTTCTATCAATGGCCCCTGCTATCCTTTAATAGCTACCAATAGACATTATTTTCAAGTAGCAGCTACAGAAACGACCCGTCGTCGTGCCCATGTCGCCAGCTGCTACTACGTTGCGGCATTTCAGACTCGAGTCTACCTGATCCGATCATCGCTCTCCCCGCACCGCGCACTCCCGCCTTGCTCGGTGTGCAGCTCCCGCCGCTGCTGCTGCAAATGCTGCTGCGCACTCCCGCCTCGCGAGACGGCGCGCAGCTGCTGCTGCTGCTGGTGCTGCTGCTGCACTTGTGCGACGCCGCACAAGTGATTCAGCCTTCCTTCGGCGGTCCCTGTTGCCTGCTCAGGCAAATCGCGACACCCATTCGCGGGATTTCTGAGATAGGATGGTGACTCGGCCGCATGCACAGGCGGTGCAGCGAGGCTGCCTCGGTCTGTTTCGGGCCTTTCTCTGAGGCGTCGATGGTGCTGTGGATTTCGTGGGGAGGGTTGCAAGGACGGAGTAGTGCTGATGGTAAGCTGCAGCTCTCTGTGTTTCGCTGGGTATTCCCCGCATGGCGTCGCAGCAGCAAGACGTTTTGTCCGGTGCTTACATTAAAAATATTTACCAGTGACATGACAGATATGGGTTATTGGAGATTTCATGATGCATAAAGCAAAAAGCGAAGGGATGATGGTGCTGGGAAGATCGGACAGATTCAGGAGGTACAGTTGTCGCATGCCACATGGCACAGGTTGTTGAGGCGTCATTCTGCCATCCACGTGTTGCAACAATTACTGTCGCTGCGATTGGTTCCCTGCGCTCCTCTCTCCCTATTCCATCAAAAAAATCCTGCGTCCAGAAAACCTTTGGAAAGAGTTGCTTTAAAGCTTTGTTGAATGATTTATAAACGTCTTGTTTGGTACGATATTTTGAGAAAGTATATACCTTCTTCTGGATGCTTTGTCGAACGCTGTTCGCATGCTTCTGCGATGCTTGTGTGTTCAAACCTCTCAGGTGAAAACCTTCGGCAGAAGTTTGGTTGGAGTTTCCGCAGAGCAATTTCGGAGATTGGATCTCATTGCATTGTACTCTTCATGGACATCCGGTTTAGTTATAATGAAGTTGGATTGGAGACTTGCAATGGTTAACATGTTGTTTAACAAGATGTTTAGTTGCCTCATCCTAGCATCCAAAATGACCATTACTGAAGCGTTGGTAAATGGGTTTTATTCTCAACAAAAAAGGCACATACAAGAGCATCCTACACCCCACCCTCTCTAGTCAAAGACCCCGCCTCTTAGGGTGATCTGCATCAACCTGCTTCTCATGCTCCCGTACACTATGCCTCCCACTACACCCCATGTCACGTGCTCTAGGCCGAGCATGCTCGCCCCTACACCTAGCCCCCATGATCCATGCCTTGGCTGCGACCCCACTTCCTGCCTCTCTTCCTGCATCTCCCATCCCTCCTTCACTAATTGTGGTACTATTGCCCTGCCCGTGCGTCCACTGCTTCCTCGCATGTCCAGCCCTGTCATGCGTCTGCTGCTCCGCCTTAGACATCCTCTAGTCAAGCCTTTACTGCTGTTTGCTTTGTCCTATCCGGTCATGCCTATACTGCTGCGGCCCTTGCACCACTCCCCTCCGTAATGCTGTCCCCCTTTCTCTATCCACACGTGCCTTCCCTGATGCCCCCCTTGCTGTCTCCACCAATGCCTCTCCTCGCACGTATGTGATGCCTCTCCTGCTGTCCCCTTTTGTAAACTCCACGCATGCCTCATCTGCAGCCCCCCTTGTCTCGTCACACCATCATTTGGCCCTCTTGCCTCCCCTTCTTTTGCCATTTTCGTGCCTTTTGCCCTTCCTCCGCTCCTGGCCCCCCTGCTTCTCATCCTCATCCTCATCCTCTTCCTCCTCTTTCTCCTCTTCCTCCTCTTCCTCCTCTTCCACTTCCCTCCAACCTCCCTTGCCTCTGCCTCTCTTGTGCTTTCTCCCCTTCCTCCGCGACTGCCCCCCCTGTTTCTCATCCTCCTGCTCCTCCTCTTCCTCATCTTCCTCCACTTCCTCTTCCCTCCTGCTTCCCTGCCCTCTGCCTCTCTTGTGCTTCCTGCCCTTCCTCCGCTCCTGCCCCCCCTGTTTCTTATCCCCCAGCTCCTCTTCCTTCTCCTCTTCCTCGTCCGCTTCCCTCCTGCCTCCCCTGGTTTTCCCCCCCTTGTGCCTTCTGCCCTTCCTAAGATCTTGCCCCCCCCGTTTCTCATCCTCTTCCTCATCCCTCCCGCCTGCCCTAGGTCTCTTGTGCCTTTTCCTCTTCCTCTGCTCCTGCCCCCACTGTTCCTCGTCCTCCTCCTCCTCCTCCTCCTCCTCCTCCTCCTCCTCCTCCTCCTCCTCCTCCTCCTCGTCATCCTCCTCCTCCTCCTCCTCCTCCTCCTCCTCCTCCTCCTCCTCCTCCTCCTCCTCCTCCTCCTCATCCTCCTCCTCCTTATCCTCCTCCATGTCCTCCGAGTCGTACACCTCCTTTTCTTCCTCCTTCAGGTCCTTCGTTTCGGCATCAAGCTCAGCCTTCCCCCGGAAGGCCTCAAATCCTGACTCGTGAACATACAGCCCACGGTCGCCCCACTTGAAGCCCTTCACGTCTGTATTGTACACGGGGGTGTGGCGTGTGAAGTGGTCCTTGATAATCCACCGCACATTTCAGTGCAAACCCCCCATCCATTCACTGTTCTTCCGGTGGGAGTTGGAGACGTTCCAGTCAGTCCTCTTAACCTTTGATAGGCCCTGGTCAATCTGAAAGTGTATAGCACAGTATGGGATGGAGGAAATACACCAACTTCAGTGGACACTCGCGTGCAGAGTTTAGAGGCTGCGCTAAATGCCCCACATACCATGCCGAGGGACACAAAACAGCATGCCAAGCTAGAGCATACCATGGGTTGAGCAATAATTGCGTACCACCATGATTGACCAGGCAATGTGGTATGCTTTGACGCACACCCGGCGCC